TTCTTAACATTTGGTCTGCTCTGTGGCAGAGTGGTAAGAGTCCAAATCGTTCTAAATAATTGAGCTGGGCGACAGCTCGCAGATGCAATCATGGCTGCATAATATTCTCGTTTAGAGGCTTTGACTGCCATCTCGAAGGATCTCATAAACGTCCTATAGGATGCTCTTGTAGCTTCGTCACGAGTGTCGCCACTGCCTCTCTAGCCATCTGAGCCCTCGCTTCATCAGCTGCAGCTCCTGTGTATACCATGGAACGAGGCTAGAGCGGGGATGCAGAGGACAGCGGGGAGCGATCTTGTGAGAGTCGGTTGTGCCAGTCCTCTACAAGTTCATCTAACAAGCCGCCAGGGGGTATCAGATCCTGCAGGGCCATCTAGAGCTGCACTGGGTCCATTTGGCTCTGTGGGCGAGCTAAAATGCGCTCGCCGCCCTCAGAGGGTCGGGTGGAATGTTCATGCGGGCCTTCAGAGCATAGTGGTCTGACCATGGTACTATAAATCTACAAAGGGGACCAGCAATTTAAAGGTACAACAATAATGGAAGAAATTGCTGTTAGGTTCACACAATAGCACTATATAGACAAAAATGAATAAATAAACTTGTTGAGATGACGTTCAATGATGTTTGTAATATCTATATTTTCAAGACAAAGGACGTCTGACACTGAAGATAGGTGATACGAACATCTCGAGTGGTAGTTCGTTTCGAGACACAACTCTTTTTCAACCACAATTCAGATTCTCTGGTTGTCTTTTTGTGTACAGAGGTAGTATTAATCTTTTCCAACAACAGTTCCAACAGCCCATAGGCTAACAAGTTTATAATACAGCACGCAGGCTTACTAGTTTTGTTGTCCGGACAAGTTTATTTATTCATTTTTGTCTATATAGTGCTATTGTGTGAACCTAACAGCAATTTCTTCCATTATTGTCTGACCATGGTACTGCCATAGCAGTAATTTGGTCCACTGTAACTCCTGCCGTGAAGATCAGATCAAGCAAGTGTCCAGCCTGATGGGTAGGAGCCGTTACAAATTGGGAGAGTCCTAGTGTCGCCATGGACGACACCAGGTCCATCGCCTGTGTGGAAGCCGTGTCATCAGCATGGAGTCGCCCAAGACAATCAGCCTAGGGTGCTCCAGTGCGGCCTCCAACAGAGATGACAGGCTGTTACTCCCTGGCACATGTGGATAGCGTGCACGGACTGATGCAGTGCCTGACTTCCATGCAACAGCAAAGGGGCTTGATGTACCAATATGTTAGATACAGTAAAACCTGATGAGCTTTTAGCCCACATAGACTCCATCCCCATTGCACTTTCTCTCCTCCTTCTCCCTTGCCTGCACAGTCAGCATCTGACAACAGACTGCTTTAAGAGCTAAACAAGATTAAAGGAAATTGTGGCAGCAGGGATACTGCTACCCAGCCTCGATCTGGCCGTGCCTCAGCAATGGCCATGACACCAGCTGGAATCCCACAGTACAAGAAAATAGCCAGATACCCCCATAAGGGTCTTGGACTGTGTTAATTCAATGCTACAATTCACTTCAGTTCCCTGCTAGCCCAGCCTACAATGCACTTCCACTGCTGAAATATAGTTAAATACAGTTAAATACATTTATTTTCCTTCTGCAAACAATCTGGAATCCATAACTACACTGTTTACTTTTGGATACAAATATCACTCTGCATGGAAGACCTGCCTCAATGAGCTTTGAATGACAGAGAACACCTGCATATAATGTTGCCTTATACCAAGTCAGACCACTGGTCTGTGTAGCTCAGTAAAGGTAAAGGTAACGGTAAAGGTTCCCTTGCTCGAAAGCCAGTCAAATCCAACTCTAGGGTTGTGGTGCTCATCTCCGTTTCAAAGCTGAAGAGCCAGCGCTGTCCGAAGACGTTTCCGTGGTCATGTGGCCGGCATGACTAAACACCAAGGTACCCCGCTGTTACCTTCCCACCAAAGTGATAACTATTTATCGACTTGCAATTTCTTGCTTTCGAACTGCTAGGTTGGCAGGAGTGTAGCTCAGTACTGTCTACTTACTATGACTGGCAGTGGCTCTCTGAGGTCTCAGTCAGAGAAACATCTTCTTCAACACCTGTGATCTTCTAATTACAGAACAGAAATCGAACCTGAGACCTTCTGTACAGGTTGAGCCATGAGGCTCTCTTGAGAGAGAGAACCTGGACTTACTTCACAGCCTCACCAAAGAGTCAGTTAAAAATGCTCCTTCTCTCATAAGAAATAAATAATTAACAGGGAAACTATAAACCCTTCTTTTTCTCTGATTGCCTGGCTCAGGGGGACTGATATTTGACCACCAGCCCACATATGCTTGACCAGAAGAGCAGGTGAAGGGGGCAATGTCACCTTCTTTAAGGGCTACCAGTCCCATGATAGTGACATTTACAGCACTCAGCTCGGTTTCAGAGCACTGTGTTGGGCGGTTTGGGCAGTGGAAGTCTGTTAGAAACTGAGACGTTCAAGGAACTTACATAAGCCACCACAGTGTATGCACAGCTGCATCATTTGATTCTGTAAGGTGAGACACAGCATTCAAAACAAGTAACAGGTGGCTTTCATTTTCCCAGGGTTCTGACAATGTTTAATTCTGTTTGGCGACTAATGCCCTTCCCTTCTGCTATTCTCACTTTCGTTTTTAATACTCCTGTGGTTTTTATTGCTGCTGTTATTTGGTTCTCTCTGCTGGAATTTTATGCTGGGGGGTTGTATGTTAATTATGCAGTTGTTATTATTGAATGTTTAATGTTGTAAGCCACCGGGAGAACAATGACAGGAAACAGAGTAAATGGCTAGCAAACAAGGAGCAAAGGGTGGAAAGGCATCGCACAACTTGCTTTGACTATTGATGCAAAGTTTATGATCCATGTAGAACACACTGTGAAGGTCACTGTGAGCTGTTGCATTCCTGTAGTGAAAAGCACCTTACTAGCTATAAGACTTCTTCAAGAGCCAATTGCATTAATTTGCTTTTAGGGTTTAAATGTCCTTCATGAAGGCTAGATTGTACGTTCCCAGCTCTGCATATGTTCTGCACATCCACAAGACAGCCAGCACCAGGAGATGAGTAAATGGAATTCTCCCCTTAACAGCAGGGAAGTTTTATACCTATTTATACCTATTCCCCTTTTGTTCGGATAACTACTCATGTCTGGCTCTGCCAGATACCAGTTCCACCCCCACTCCCCATCTCTGTAAGATGCATTTCTCACTACCTTCTCCCATGGGCCATTGTAACTTCAGAGCTAGAAACATACTTCGGTCTCCAAGGAACTGATTGAACAGATTGTTCCCCCTCAGCTCCCCTTTGCTCAGTGATGGAAAGTTTTCCATAGAAAACTGTTAGTTTTTACTGTCAGCAACTTCTGTTTGAAAGAGATGCTGTCTCACATAGCTGTGAGAGTATTCAGAAAGCTTAGACCCACCCTAGATTTTCCAGAAGTATAGGCAAGAGAGATTCAACTTGTCTGCCTTTGACTTGACACTCTGACTGATGAAATCTGTGCTACAGAAATCCTGCCCCCCATCTTGATACAACTGTTAAGAGGTAGAGGGGCCAGTCAGTCTAGATGTTACTGGAAGGTTCTATTTACCTTGTCTAAAGAAATGTCTTCTCTCCCTCTCCACACAGAAATTATTGTCAAATCCCACCCCCCGAAGGCTCCTCTTTTCTACATCAGAATGGGTTCAAAAGGTGGTGGCAGCGTATCCAAATTTGAAGATGGCAGGAAAGGCTCAAGACTGGGACACGGTGGCCCCAATCCTCCACAATCATCCCTCTTAGCCTCAGCTGGGCTTCCACACTTCCCAGAGATAGTACACAAAAGTGCTAACAAGTGGCACAACAGTGCTAACAGTGGAACAACTAACAAAATATAACAGATAAAGCAAAGGTCTTCCTAATTTTGTATTTTCAGTTCAAAATTACATACTCCATGCTTGAAACAGATGGAGCGTAATGGCAGAGCCTCAGTTAATTACTCTCAGCATTCCACAATAATAATAATAATAATAATAATGCTTTCGATTTATTGATCGCTCTTTCCCACATACCTGCAGGCTCAGAGCGATTTACAGTTACTCTTGAGACAGTTGGACTAACAATATTTGGTGGGGATAGGGAAGACAAACATACAGCATTAATTACACACATTGCAGCTTCATCTGCGAGCTGGGTCAGTTGTGTTCCTACAGCATCTTGTCGGCTGGCTGATGACGTCTGGCTTCTTGATGTTGCGCAGCCACACACACTGCTACCACCTGGCCGACTCGCTCCACTGCAGGGAAGCCAACTCAGTTCTTTCGTCTTTCCGGTCACCGCGCCTCAGAAGTTGCCACAGTAGCTAACACCTTCCCGAAGGGAGGGGTGTGCCCACCCCCTTACAGGTGGTCCCCAATTTATCTACTCGCCAAAGCTTTCGAATCACTGGGTAGACGATGAGCTAGGACAAGGCTTGGTTGCTCACACCAGCACGGGGCTAGAACTGCCAAAGCATGGCAGTTCAGATGTTATTGTTAAGCAGGGAAAAATCCCCTGCACCACCGTAAAGATACATATCCCCATCAATCTCCAATTTTGACATGTTTATTTCCTTCACTATGTTTTCTTCCAGGAATTAAACCAAAACAAATGGTAACCATATAAATTAAGCTTGTTATTCCTGTTTGGTCCGTGAATCTGTTAAACATCTTCATTATGTTGTATGCTAATTTACTGCTCACCCTCTACCTGTATGTGTGGATTGGTAACTTCCATTTCATTGTATCTGAAGAAGTGTGCATGCACACGAAAACTTATACCTTGAATAAAACTCTGTTGGCCTTAAAGGTACCACTGGACTCAAACTTTGTTCCACATTTTCCCAAGTTAGTCTTATAGTGAACCAAACTAGTGTGAGACAGAGGAGTCCAGATCGAAAATAGCTATGACATGTGCATTTATCAACCTGCTTGCAGAAAAGTAGTTTCTTACTTACGATTACATCTTTTTTGCACAAATCTCAGTTTACAGGCAGTCCTATACGTTGAAAGTCGGATGACATCAAAATTCTGGGCCCCTGTAAGCCAGAAAAAGGTCATTTTAACAATGCATTCCCATTTCTCTCACAGTTTTATTCTGGCAGCTCTCTGGCAGCTGCATTTTAGAGCCTAATTCTTATTGAACAGTTTAACTTGTGTCTGGCTACACCACTTCTTACTTCAGTTGAGGGACTATATGGCAGAATTTCTCCATATAATACACAAGCTTTCACACAGAAAAATGACAGGTTATGGAACACAGTTCTAGCCTAGCCTTCCCCCCCGTATGCCAGTTGCTATGTGGAGACACAGATTCCCTTCACCCAGCATTGGTCTGAAATGATGCAGTCCAATCTCAGCTTTATCACATCAATCAAAATGAGGCCTTCCCCTACTTAAAGCTATGATACTTACTTCTGACTTCCAGCTAAGAGTAAAGGCAAGAAACTATTTCCCCTACATTTTCATTCCTTTCTCCCCATACAGTGGATAACCCAGTTTGAATTACTGAACTTGACTCATTAGGAATCAGCTGGCCAGGGAGCTCTGCTATATTTCTCTGCATTATGAAGTTTCCTGTAGGTATGTGGCAGCTAAGACAGACAAGATCCTCCTGGCCAGTTCTAGCCTAAGGCTTCAAAAACTGCAAGAAAACTGTTCTCAAACGTCTCCTGGCAGTACTGAAATCAATAAGGTTTGTTTGCTGGCTTCCGGTCTAGCTAAGATGGAGGACTGAAGCGTTTCGCAATCGTGCGAAGCGAGCGACGGCCACTTTTGACAGTTTGGGCAATATACAGCCCAACGCATCACTCCCCAGCGAGGGGGGGGGACAAGCAGGCAGCAGCGCCCTAGAGGGAGTGTGAGGTTGGCGTAATCCAGCTTCGGAAGAAGCTGAATTGGGCTTTGACCTCCTCCCACGAAGAAGGCAAGTGCCAAGCAACTCTATAGTGGCCGATCGAGCCGGGCTACCGGCATAAATTCTTCGTCAGCAGACTTCTTTGAAGAGGGACAACAACTGTGAGTTAAAAGAAACAATGCGAAACCCGTTTTGAACGTGCTAGATAACAAAAACGTGCCGCTTACCTGAACTGAGTTTGGAGTCAATTTGAATTAAGCAGTTGAGCGGAAAATGAATAGTAAATCCCAGAAATCCGATTCCGGAGAGAAAAAAGTTGATTGAAGCCTTTAAAAACTGTAAAAACGCTTATTGTTTAACATTCCTGTGGTGAAGATGGAGCCGTGTGCGCAACTGTAAAATCGAAACTCACGAACAATAGCGTGGGAAGAGCAGGCTGGTGTCACAAAGAAAGAGGTCCGTGTGAAACATCCAGGAAGTTGAATTCCTAGACGGGCATTAGCGAAAGGAAGACAGTGGAACTTTTAAAGGTGCCGGACCGGAAGTGAGTTGTATGCGGAAGGAAGGGCCTGCAAAGTATCAATTTGACCTACTCTACATGAAATTACCATAGAGAAGTTGCGCCCGACATTTTGAGGAGGACTTCAACTAAATTTGCTTTTTTAATATATTTCTAAGGGTCTTTGGAAAGCGTAAACAGAGAGGCATGGAGGACTAAATCTTATCATCTAGAAGAGTGCTTTATCTTGCGAATCTGTGAATTGAAAAGAAATCGCCAAGACGGAGACCAGGAGAGGCAAGAAAAGAGCCGACTCAGACCCAGAACTTAAACCAGTTGTGAGACCTAGGATTGGATCTACTTCAACCCCCAAAATGTCAAGCGAAAGAGAGAAAAAAGAGATGCAGGCCTCCATGGAAGCAATGGAGAAGAGAATGACAGAGGCAATACAAGCCATGGGGGAGCAGATAGAAAAAACATTGGGGGACCAACTGGAGAAGCAAACTCAGATTCATCTGAAACATCTAGAAGAAGTCCAAGAGAAGAACATAACAGCATTGAAGGAATTGGTTACTACAGAAATAACTTCAATCAAGCAAGAAATGGAAGGAGTTAAGAAGGATGTTCAAGCAAATGCAACCAAGACTACAGAGACAGAGGAGAAGATACAAAAAATAGAAGAGAAACAAGATTCTTTGACTCAACAAATTACAAGATCAGAGACAATGATGGAGTTCAGAAGGATGCAGACTCATCTGAGATTCAGAGGCATTAAGGAAACAGAGAATGAGAACTTAAAAGAAAAAATGATGGAAGTGATAACGGCTTTTCTGGGCGAGGAGGAAGGGTCAATGGACTCAGACTTTGATTTGATTTATAGAGTGAACTCCAGAATTGCAGAAAAGAAGAATTTACCAAGGGATGTAATTGTACAATTTGTAACAAGATCAATAACAGAGGAGATATTCAAGAAGCAATTCAACGTCCCTTTTGTAATAGAGGGAAACAAAATTATGGTGATGAGAGAACTCCCAAGAACAATACTGCAAGACAGGAAAAGGTATAAATCCTTGGCGGACAAACTCAGAGCTTTGAGCATCAGATATAGATGGGAGATTCCACAAGGTTTATCCTTTACGTATCAAGGTGGGAGGATTCAGATCAGATCGATGATGGACTTTTATAAATTTAAGGCGGACAATGCGGACGTCTTTGGAGAACTTTAAAATAAAACGCATAATGGAGTACAAATTGTTGTCATGGAATGTTAATGGATTAAATTCACCAAACAAGAGGAAAAGAATCAATCATTGGATACAGAAACAGAAATGCAACGTGATATGCTTGCAAGAAACACATATTAGAAAACAGGATATAAAATATTTAAAGAATGCTTTATTTGGAATTGAATTTTGTTCTGCGGCCTCAAACAAGAAAAAAGGAGTTGTGACATATGTGAAGAAGGAGTTACAACCTACAGAAATTTTTAAGGACATAGATGGCAGATACGTGGGTGTGGAATTAATGATTCAGCAGAAAAAAACATTGTTGATCAACGTGTACGCACCCAATGGAGCAAAGGAAAAATTTTTTAAGGATATAACTGACCAATTACAACAATTGACTTATGAGCAAGTTATTATGGCCGGAGACTTTAATGGGACAATAGATCGTCTAGACAGAAAACCACAAAAGGACAACGAATTCAGCGGAAAATTGCCAAAGAATTTTTTTGAATTAGTTAAGCAAGAAAAATTAGAAGATGTTTGGAGGAAATGGAACCCGATGCAGAAAGACTTTACTTTTTATTCCAATAGACATTGCTCTTTTTCCAGAATTGATATGATTTGGATGTCTGAAGAATTATCAATGAAAACACATAAGACTGAAATTTTGCCAAGATGTAATTCAGATCACAATCCGGTGGTATGGAGTTCCACAGAAAGGAAAAAACCCTTTCTGTGGAGGATTAATGAAGACTTGTTGGATAAGAAAACGGTAATTGAGATGTTAAAGGAAGAAACGAAACAATTCTTTCAACAAAATTTAAATAAAGAAACACCGATACAGATTGTATGGGATGCTTATAAAGCGGTGATGAGAGGAATTCTCATCTCGCAAAACGTGAAGCAAAAAAAGGAAAAACTTCAAAAACAAACAGAAGTGTTAGAAAAAATTGCTCAGAAAGAAAAGGAATTAAAAAAGAAGCCTGGAAAAAAGCAAATTATTAAAGAATTAAAGTTGCTGAAGGAACAACTGAATGAGACTTGGAATCAGGAAATGTATTGGAATTTAAAGAAGTTACAACAGAAATCTTTTGAAGGGGCGAACAAACCGGGAAAATACTTAGCTTGGCAACTTAAGGCTAGAAGAGAGAGAAGAATGATAACCAAAATAATAGAAGATGGAAAAGAGTTCGTTGATCCTAATGGAATAAAGAGATGTTTCTTCAAGTATTATGCTAAACTATTCCAAACAACTAGAGTTGATCTTGAGAAGATTAAAACATATTTAAAGGAGATTCCACTACCAAAAATAAGTAAGGAATACAAAGATTTATTAAATGGTCCAATTCAAAAAGAAGAAGTGATGAAGGCAATAGAAGAGACAAAGTTGGGGAAGGCGCCTGGGCCGGACGGATTTACAGCGAAATTCTACAAAAAGATGAAAGAAGAAATTTCCCCGGTCCTGGAAGCTTTAACCAACGAAATAAGAGAAAACAAAAAGGTGCCGGACTCATGGAAAGAAGCAATTATTTCTTTGATTCCAAAGGAAGGACAAGATTCAACAAATGTAAAGAACTACAGGCCAATATCTCTTTTGAACAACGATTATAAAATCTTTGCAAAAATTATTGCAGAAAGGGTGAAAAACTATTTACAAACGGTAATTTCTGAAGATCAAGCGGGCTTTTTACCCAAAAGGCAGATTAGAGACAATGTAAGAATAGTAATGGACGCAATTGAATATTATGAAAAGCACCCAGAAAAAGAAGTAGCTTTTCTGTTTGTTGATGCAGAAAAAGCTTTTGACAATCTTAATTGGAATTTTATGCACCAGATGATGGAAAAGATTGAAGCGGGACAACATTTTAGAAATTGTATTGAAGCTATCTATTCTGAACAAAGAGCTAAAATAAATGTGAATAAAGAACTGACAGATAACTTCAAAGTACAGAAAGGAACAAGGCAAGGTTGTCCGTTATCACCGTTATTATTTATCTGGGTATTGGAAATACTTTTACAAAAAATACAGTACGATCAAGAAATAAAGGGCTTGACACATAAAGGACACCAATACAAATATCGAGCATTTGCAGACGATGTAATGTTTATGGTGGAAAACCCAACAGAAAAATTGACATTGCTTTTTCAAAAAATAAAGGAGTTTGGAGAATTGGCCGGCTTTTACGTAAATAAGAATAAAACAAAACTTATATGTAAAAACATGATCAAACAAAAACAAGTGGAACTACAAGAACTGGTACAATGTGAAGTAGTTAAAAAAACAAAATACCTTGGAATTGAATTAACGGCAAAAAATATAGACCTATATAAGAATAATTATGAGAAATTATGGACTAAGCTGACTCAAGATTTTAAGAAATGGGATAAAATGAACTTATCACTGATGGGAAGAATATCAGTTATAAAAATGAATGTCCTACCACGTTTGATGTTCCTGTTCCAAACAATACCAATTCTGCATAAAACGGATTTGTTGGCCAAGTGGCAACAAGAGTTGTCAAAATTTGTTTGGGCAGGCAAGAAACCAAGGATCAAAATGAAAATACTTTGTGATGCCAAAGAAAGAGGAGGTCTACAAATGCCAAATCTTAGACTATATTATGAAGCGGTTTGTCTAACATGGATGGATCAATGGGTGAAGCTTGAAAATGACAGATTGTTGGGGTTGGAAGGGCATGATTGTAGATTTGGCTGGCATGCATATTTATGGTATGACAAGATAAAAATGGACAGTTTTTTTAAACTTCACTTGGTGAGAAAAGCTTTGTATATGGTATGGACAAGATATAAGAAGTACCAGAGTGACTTAAGACCATTGTGGATTGTACCAGTAGAAGTGTTGATATCTTACTCAAGACAGCGAGGTAGAGACTGGTTGCCATATAGAGATTTAATTAAAAAAGAGGGAACAGAGTGGGTAATGAAAAAGCAGAATGAAATTGAATATGAATATGAGTGGTTGAAATATATGCAGATTTATGATCTTTTTAGATCTGACAAAAAAAACTATGGTTTTAGAGAGGAAAAAAATGAAATTGAAAAGGTTTGGGAGAGTGGAGGAGGAAAAAATATTTCTAAAATGTATAAGGTGTTGTTAAAATGGTATACTGAAGATGAAACTGTTAAAGAACAAATGTTAAAATGGGCTATTAATATGAATAAGGAAGTGGCTATGGAAACCTGGGAATATTTGTGGAAAAATTCTATTAAGATCTCGACATGTACTAATGTTAAAGAAAATTGTTATAAGATGATGTATAGGTGGTACATGACACCTAAGAAAATTGCAAATATGAATCAAAATATGTCAAACAAATGCTGGAAATGTAAGAGGCATGAGGGCTCATTTTATCATATGTGGTGGACTTGTGAGAAAGCTGTAGACTTTTGGACAAAAGTCCACAATGAAATGCAAAAAATATTGAAATGTTCTTTTAAAAAAGCACCGGAAATTCTGCTTTTGGGACTTAAAATGGAAGAAGTCAATACGACTAAAAAGACTTTACTCTGGTACCTGATAGTGACAGCGAGAATGATTTATGCTCAGTTTTGGAAGACAGAAAAGGTACCAGAGGTTGAAGAATGGATACAAAAAGTTCTGTTCATGGCACAAATGGATAAGATTACAAAAAAACTGAATAACAAAGAAGACGATGAGTTTTTTGGAGAATGGAATGACTTTAAAATTTATCTGGAAAAGAACTGGGATGTGAAACAAAACTTAATATGTTTAGATCAATATTAAGTCAAATGATGTTATCTTTAGATTGTAATGATGAGAAACTGATATTGTTGATGATATGAAGTAATTTGGAGCAGGGGTGGAAGCATTGTGGGAAGCCATTGGAGGGAGGGGAGGAACTGGGAATGGGGTAGACAATTGATAGAATGAAAAGTTTTATATGTTGTATTCCTGAGAAAATAAAAAATTTGTTTACCAAAAAAAAAAAAAAAAAAAAAAAAAGGTTTGTTTGCTGCCAACTTATTCTTACATTAACATTTATGCAAGGAAGGTTGTAAAAACTTGAATTAACAACCCAGATAAATATTCCCCACTTTTTCAGGTTATTGGCACACCGATGGTGCTTTAAAGAACACTACCACAGTCCAGGGTTGAATTACATTTCAAATTGAATGCAGGCACTTACAGGGCACCTTGCCCATCAGCAGAGGTAACTTAGAGAGCCAATGTGATATAGCAGTCAGCATATAAGACTAGGAGACCCAGGTAAAAAATCCTCAGTGATATGAAGCTCTATGGGATGACTTTGGGCCATCCACTCTCTCACCCTAGTTTACCTCACAGGATTGTTGCAAGGATAAAATGGAGGAGGGGAAAACAATGCACACCACCCTGAGCTCCTCTAAAGGAGGGTGGGATAAAATGTACCAAATAAACAACCTTGCATTGACCTCCTATTTCCAAGGATCATTTGTGAGTACTCAAGAATACTAAGATGTTGCAAGAAATCCTTCTCCTCCTCTCTCCACCACACCTCTCTATCCAGCCCCATCTCTTTGCCTTTTCTCTTTCCACTGTCATCGCCCCAGACTTCCTCTTTGCTGCTCGCTATAGATCCTGCTAAAGATCCTGCTTATTCTGGATTACTTGGTCCACCAGGCTCTGACTGGCAGCAGCTCTCCAGGGCCCCAGGTAAAGAAAGGGGTCTCCCAGCATCTGCTAACTTCAGCACCTTTGAATGGAAATGTGACAGACTGATCCTGGGACTTCTGCATGCAAAGTGGTTGTTCTGCCACTGAACCACAGCCTTGTTTCAGGCCACTGCTTGAAGGAGCCAAGCAGGACAAGTGGCCAGGATACAAGCAGCCACTCTGAGTAGCTGGTGGATGGGGTAGGAGACTGTCCCCACAAAAACAACTCCAGAGAAGCCACTTGACCCTGAATTAAAGTACCTCTACTGTTGGGTCTCATTAAGTGGAGGAAATACTGTGTGAACAAGGAAACAAGTAAAAGGTCAGTGCTGGAGAAAACCTGAGAACTTGAAATTTCATTTCAAGAGATTACACCCCTGAAGATTTTTATCTTGTGATGTTTATCATCTCTTGGGAGGAACAAGATCTGGTAACATTCTTTTTTGAAATGCTATTGTACATTCCTTAGCAAAGCTGTAAGCTTAAAAGTGTCTTACTTACTCATTTCCATGAACAGCTGTCTCTTCTCTGCCATTGTTCTCCTCCTTTTTCCACTTTCCTCTATCATCCTAAAGACATAAAGTCAGGATTTCAACTCCATGTTATCCTCTAACAAAAAAAAAGAAATCATATTCATGTGCCAATTAGTTCTGCTTTCGCTCTGTTCCAGCAAGTCACACAGGAAATAGCTAATACAAAACCACTAAGCAAACATGAAGATTACATTGATAGTTTGACAACTGGAGTATGTAGAGCAGAAAGCAGATGACAGCAGTTTAAAGAAATTGCCATTCCTTTGTTTTTAATACAGATCCAGGTACAGATGTGGGGGGAAGGGTAGCAATATCCTGCAGAAGAAGCTGTGATGACTGACTGTAAAGCCCTATGAGCCCCTCCAAAGTTCCTCCAGCTCTCATTTACAAACAGCTCTACTTTCAGTGATGGGGACTGCATAATACTGATGTTTTTGTTTATTTAACATACACATACACACACGTGCGAGCACCCCTGCCTTTCTCTCGAGCACCTCAAGACTCATGGCAGGTAACAATATGAAAAGTAAAAGTAGACATTAAAACAGATATGCAAGACATTAAATCCATGTTAAAAACCAGTTTAGAAACACATAATGCGCTGCACTAGGAGATACTCCCTTGTTGCACAGGTTCGGGCTGCCCCAAAAGCTCTTTGGAATAATGGTCATACAGCCTCATCAGAAAGCCAGGAGGGCAGAAATCTCTGAACCTTTTCTGGGAGGCTGTTCCACAGACATGAGAACAGCCGTTGCAAATAGCCACTTTTGTGTCTGCCATGCTAGCTGTCAACTACCAATAGAAAAACTTCTGGAAAAGCAGTCTCTGCAGTGCTGCACTGAAAGTTTTAAAGGAGCAGTAGCAGGCTTCCTCCTGTGCTGCTAAAGGGGAACATAAGCTGTTAGGGGAGGAGAGGAGATGGCCCTATCCCACAAAGCCCCCCAGTGATGTAATTCCTGTTTTCATGCAGGAACACTGCGAAAATTTTTGGCTATGAACATATAGCAGGTCATTCCCATTCTTCCCCTCCCTGATTTTACTAGTAGACCACTTATTTAATGGAGGATAATTAGCAAGGCTATTGGAACTATAGGATGCTCCTCACATATGGCTAAAAAATCATCTTCACTTTATGTCAAGTGGCCTTTCAGGAACAACCACATACTTTGAATCAGGTTCTATTAGCAGACCATGGTTCTTTTCATGGGCTAAAAGGGATTCTGGAGTGGGGTGAGAAGAACATTTTTAAATTTTATGTATACATTAACAAACCTTTATATATCATATAAGATTAAAATGTTTCCTCATTCCATTCCTGGTCTAAGAGCAGATGGCCATGTTTATCTTTCACTCGAATACAGAACACATGGTACAGAAGAAAAGCCTTCCTCAGTAGTCACTAAAAATTCAAATACTTCCCCCCTCCCCACTGGATAAGCTCAGACAAACATAGACGATCTAAAACTGACCTTATTGTTTACATGTTTGCTTATTTCAGAAGTACCATAAAAGAGGAAAGTGGATGTGCCAACTAAATTCTTTAGGCCAATACTACAGGACCTATTTTAACAGGTTTCGCTCTTCTTGGAGCTCATCAGCTGTAGGTAACGGCCTAATTTGTGGTAAGTTTTCAAAGGAAGCGTGGTAATGGGGTTACAGGATGGCTGAGAGCCATTTTTGCCTCTCAACCCCACAGTTTATTACAGTATGAGATCTGCATTAATTTTAGGATTTGAGATCACACCTACTTAACATTTTACATGCAAGCATTACTTGTTCCCTTGAAGTTAACAAAAAAAGTAAATTGAGGTAAAATTAGTGGTTCTCTCACTTACAGGAGATAACTGCTTTATAATTAACAATAATAATTATTAATAACAGTGATCACGTGGCATTGTGTGTAGAGTAGCCAGGAGATCCTAAGACTGACTGGCAACCAAAAGTTCTAGCTCTTTAGCGTTATGCACCACTAGATGGCAAGCTAGACTTGTTTTTAAAGCAAGAGATGTTTTAGAGGTGGTTTGCCACTGCCTGTTTCTGCATCACGACCCTGGTATTCCTTGGAGGTCGCCCTTCTAAATACTAGCCAAGGCCAACCCTGCTTAGCTTCCAAGATCTGACGGGATTGGGATAGCCTGGGCTATCCAGGTCAGGGCTAATTAACAAGTAAATTCCATTACACCCTTCTAATGTACACAAAGACAGTGTGTAATAGTTACAGTGCACTATGCCAATTATCTGAGCCCAAGTTGGAATCCTCATGTTCAATAGTGGCTTCCTGGCCAGGTTCCCATGTGACAAACTGTCCAGTTGTATCTGCCACATCAGAGTATCAGTAGCAGACATGAAGTAGGTGCTCACCCATCTCCAGCACCAGATTATAAGATCAAGGGGCTGCATGTTTGTTTGGAGCCTTCATCAAGCACAGGATTTGGCAGCTCTCTTCCACACAGTGCTGGGTTAAAGAAAGTTTGTCAGAAGAACAGCTTATTATCGCCTCTCAGAGACAATGGATGGTCCATCCAATAAAACCTAACCATCTCAGACTGAACCTAGCAGGAAGACCACCATACAAGAAAGAATCTCACCAGTGAACCAGGGTCTCCCTCTTCACCACACCAGCAGCACGCCAACAGAAGATTTCCTGAATTCAGAGATGGCTTGTGGACCTCACTAACCCAAGAAGAAAGCTCTTGCATTTTTCAGAAGAACTGGAAGATGTTTTATGAAAACTTGTGCGGGGGATATGTTAATGCTTGATGCAGCAGGAGTCTGATAACTGAGTATTCTTTATCTTTGTGTGTGTGTGTGTGTGTCATTACCCAAGCAGAACTTCTGATCTGGGGTGCATGGAATCAGATACACAGCAATAGATGATGCTGGTTTACTTGGACCAGTGACGTTCTTTGTTTCCAATGAAACCAAGAGACTGTGCCCTCACCTAAATCTGCTTCTGCACACTGGAAAAAGACTCCAGCATAGCAATGGATTGCCAAATATACATCCTATCAGACCCTATGAACACACACTCTGACTGGATCATGTTTGGGAGACATCCTACCCCACCACGGAGCTACATGTCTACTATGACATACCAAGTTTGAGGTTTGCAAGTTAAAAGCTAATTTTTGCCCCAGAGTTTAGTTTTCAAGCCCTTAAAGTTTTTTCTGTGCTGTAACTCAAAGTTCTGAAATCCAGGTATGTTGAACTTCTAGTACTAAATTAGAATTTTATGTGCAAGATCATGTTCCTGTTTTATTCTAGAAGAATGTAAAGAAACAGCTAATACACACAGCCCATTTTTTAAGCACTGAAAGATTTATGCTGGTAGGGTAGGATGTGGAATCTTAATTACACCTTATGAGGTTATTGAGTTCTTATCCACTGCATGAACAAATTCAGAAGGGAGACATTTCAGAACATACCAACTGCTCCAAATATGCAGTTCAACTCTCTATTCTCTTTAAAAACTTGTAGGTTGCAAACAGAGCACAGTTGACACGAGAGCCAATTTTGTAAAACTACTACAGTATAATTTTCTTCCCACAAGTACACATAAGGGCAAGCTTCTCTTATTCCAAATACAGACCATGGTGATTAACGTGATATTCCACTTTTAGGCGACGTTTGCAGACGCTGTTGCTCTGGAGACCTTGCTAGTAAAGCAACATGTCCCAGAATACTTATCCTGCTTTCTCATTTTGCTCTTTTATGGACAATGATGTCAGCTATTTGATCAAGTAATTGTGATACACCTTTGCCATGAACAAAGGGAGAAATTCATCCTACCATGGCCACTATTCACTTCAAGTCTATAATTGATGTTGCTTCTGCAATATGAGAGTTACAATTCTTCTGCCTTAGAAAGGAAGATTTGTCTTCCCTTACCGTGAAGCTTCCTTCTCGGTAGTCCTGGAGTGGGGCGGTCCTCACAAGTGGGTAGCTCCTCCCTCCTCCGGAAGCAGGGTTGATTGGCAGAATTCGATCCCGGAGGGGAGGGGCTTGCCCACAGATTGTCAGTCCATATCCAAGCCATGCCTCCCATCGACAACTCTCATACATGAGGAAAAAAGAGAAAGAAAAACACCCCTTCCCCAACTAACCCAGTTCACTTGAAGGGTTAACCAGTAAGAACATAGAACAACTGTTCATAACTGCGTAACAAAAAACATTCTACTCCCTTCTGTTCCTGTTGCATTTTAGCAAGAACCATGTATACCTCAGAGAGGATCTGTAACCCCCTCAGGACTAACACTGAGCTATACAGAAAACTCTCAGCACCCCCTCCAGTACCAGAAGCCGTTCCAAGAGTAAACTCTCGGGTGAGTAGGACCGCCCCACTCCAGGACCACCGAGAAGGAAGCTTCACGGTAAGTGAAGACAAATCTTCCGTTCTCCGGTGGTCCTGAGAGTGGGCGGTCCTCACAAGTGGGACGTAACAAAGCAGTGTGCCCCTAGGGTGGGTGCCGGCTTCAGGGCCTAGAGGGTGTGCTGCAGAACCCTTCTGCCAAAGGCTGCGTCTGCAGAAGCTATTTTGTCAATTCTATAGTGCTTTGTGAATGAATGAACAGACTTCCAAGTAGCCGCTTTGCAAATCGTCTCTAACGACAGGAAAGACCTATAGGCTACCGATGTTGCTGCTACTCTCAATGAATGAGCAGTAACACCCTGCGGGGGTTCCTCACTCTTGGCTTTATATGCCAGTATGATGCACCCCTGAATCCATCTCCTAACCGTGGAGGTCGAGATCCCCTGACCCAAATTAGATTTCCTAAAGGACACAAAGAGAGCATCCGATTTACGGAAGTGTTTGGTCCTATCCAGGGAGTAGCTTAAAGTTCTACGAACATCCAGACAATGCCACTCTCTTTCCTTATCATGTTTTGGATTTGGGCAGAAAGAGGGTAGCA